AAGACGCCAGTGGCGGATAACATGGATCTAGTTTCAGCAGAGACTCAGGTGCTCACAGCCTCTGCAGTGGCAGCGATGGCAGCGTTTGCCGCGAGGACGGAGCCAAAAAGATCCAAAGGTTGCTCTTTGGGGCATGCTATCATTTGGCCGTACCTGCGTGGTTTGGGGCTTTGGCGAGGCCCAGGTCGCGCCAAACGCCGTGGGTTAGCACAATGATTTCCAAAATATGTCTTCAAGGAAGACGGTGCGGGCAAAGGGCCACATCCCACAAAGATGAGTGGCTGACATTTCCACCATGTGCGCAAAGTGAGGCCCATCTAAGAAAAGGCTTCGAGATGGTGCTTGCTTGCAGGACCGCTGCACAAAGAAGGGTCAAAGAACAGTTGGCAGCATCGGCGAAAGAGCAACTTGGCCCTCAAATCTGTAGATGCGTCCAGCTGATGAGTTACCGCGTGGCAATCAGAGACAGGCATCCCCCACCTGCCCTCACCCTCTCATCAGATCGATGCCATTGTGCTGTTCAGTCGAAGAATTGCACATACTTGGGGCAGTCGCAATCATTCAGTTGCAACACCTTCAATCCCTGCAGGTTGCTGGTAGAGATTGTTTTCTTGATTTTTTCCACGGTTCCGACAGATCCCAGGGACGAGCACCTCATGCATTTGCAGCTCGCCTGGCGTGCCGTGCTGCGACAGCACCCGGAAGCGGCGCCTTGAGCGGCACAGATCTTGATCGGCCGCGGGTCGCGAGCTGCGGATGCTCTTCTCCCTTGTGTCAGGGGATGGGCGCCAGGGGTTTTGGTCATGAAGTTTTTTGCCTTTTGCCAGGGGGCGGCAGGGGTTTTGGTAGAAACAGTTTTCGGGTTTTGGTTGGTCCGGTTTCAAGGCCGGCATCCCCTCCGATCATCGGATGCCGCGACGCGAGGTGATCGAGGCGAACTTTTTGGGTATGCCCATCAGCTACGAGAAGGTGAAGGAGCGGTGGCCCCGGCTGGTGGAGACACTCGGGATTTCAGAGGAGGAGGCGCATGCGATGCGAGTCCTTGGGCAGTTTGCAGTGCGAAGATGGACGGGAGAGCCGGGTAGAGCGAGCTCAGCAAGCCCTGGTGAGGCGCTGCGGATTATTCAGATGGATGCGACACCCTTGCTGGCAGCTTGCCAGATTTCAGCCCTTGATTGCCGCACGAGACGATGTAGAGTGTCAGAGTTCTGGGATCAGACCCCTGTCCTGCGTTTGACCCCTGTCCTTCTCTGGGACAGTTCTGTTTGTTCGCCAGCCAGTGCACTCGCCAAGCCACAAGCCTGTTCGGGTTTGCTCTGTTCGGATCTGTCCACAAAGCTTCGAAGACTTGGGCAAAATCCTTCCCCATGGTTCCCAGTGGGGATGGATTCGGATTGGCTCGATATGGGTGTGGCTCAAAATTAACCAGGAGGGGCAAACCGCAGGTTTTTGGTCTATGTTTCCACTTACCAGGGTTCCATCTTGGTACCGGTTTTTTGAGCCACAGCCATATGAACGGATCAAAGGATCCTACGCACCGAGGTGGAGTCTGATTCCGTCTCAGAGGTGTTGGCCCGCCTCGCTGCCATCAGCTCCAGAGACAAGGTGCTGTCGCACGGGTATGCCGGAGAAGCAATGGGGAAGCAAACGCGACATCCGAATCCCAGCAACCCCATGCATAAATACCCCCCGTCCGAAATAATATGAGCTCTTCGAACGAACTAGTCTGTGCCAGGGCTCAGGCCTTCCTTTGCTTCGCCGGTCAAGGCCTTGGAGCTGGTGGGGCGCAGCCCGTCGTTGCTGGTCGGTGGGGCCATGCACAAGGCCAGGGGAAAGAAAGAGGCGAACGTGGTGCTTTCAGTCACTATGCCCGACGCTACAATAACATGCGCCTACATGAGCCTATGTATTCGTATGTGTACATGTATGTGTATAAAGTGTATATAAAAATATAGACCTGCAGGATGCCGGAGCGAGATTGGCACACATACATAGCATACCATGGCACACCATATCAGTACAGTACATTACGTGATACTCGCAGGCAGACATACACAGACATACGGAACTACTGACATGCAGACAGACAGCCACACAAGCATACAGACATACAGACATACAGACATACCGACATGCAGACATACAGACATGTAGGCGCACAGTCATACAGACATAGCCGTTGCGTTGCAGATTGCATTGCATTGCATTATGTTGCTGCAGTGCATTTCACCACATTGCATTATGTCACTCTGCATTACTTACAGGCAGACATGCACACATGCATGCATACACACACACATACATACATACATGCATGCAAGCATACATACATACATACATGCAAGCATACATACATACATACAGTACATAACACAGCATAACAGAACTTAACATATAATAACATACCTACATAACATACATAACATACATAACATACATAACATACATAACATACATAACATACATAGCATACATAGCATACATAACATACATAACATACATAACCTACATAACCTACATCACATACATCACATACATAACATACATAACATACATAACATACATAACATACATAACATACATAACATACATACCATACATACATACATACATACCTACCTACCTACCTACCTACCTACCTACCTACCTACCTACCTACATACATACATACATACATACATACATACATGCATACATACATATACACACACATACATGCATGCATACATGCATGCACACATATACATACATACATACATACATACATACATACATACATACATACATACATACATACATACATACATACATACATACATACATACATACACACACACACACACATACATACATGCATACATGCATACATGCATACATGCGTACGTACGTGCATACATGCACACACACATACATATACACATATATATATATGTATACATATAGATACATCTATACACAAGCACGCCTACATAAACGCACACACACACATACACACACACACACAGATACATACATATACGTACATTCAGGCCTGCACACGCGCATGCACGCACGCACACATACACACACACACGCATACATACAGCCGCATGTACGTAGCTACCTACATACACACACACACACGCAGGCAGGCAGGCAGGCAGACAGACAGACAGAGACAGACAGACAGAAGGACATACATGCGTGCAACATGCATGCATGCATCTACACACGTGCATACATGCATATCACAGACTGACAGACATACAGGCAAACATGCGGACACACTCAGACAAACAAGCATACATTGATACATAGGTACATATATATATATATATATACACATAGATACGTAGATACATAGATACATAGATACACACACACGCATATATATATATATATATATATCACACGGAGTAGACTTGACACCTTCAACTAGAAGAGAGGAAAGGTAGGCCCTGGGGTGGGTGGGTGGGTGACCATACATATATATATATATATACATAGATATGCGGATACATAGATGCACGCATACATCGATACATAGATTCATAGACGCATAGATGCACAATTACATAGCAACCAAGTTTTATAGATGCACGCACATGCATACAAGCAAACATACATGCATGCGTACATGCATACATGCATGCATGCATACATACATTTGTACACAAGCACGCCTACACAAGCACGTGCACTCAAGCATACACATGCATACGTGCATGCACGCTCGCAAGCATACACGCATACACGCATACATATGTACGTGTACATACACATATGCATACATGCATGCATGTATGCATGTATGTATGCATGTATGTATGCATGTATGTATGCATGTATGTGTGCATGTATGTGTGCATGTATACATGCATACATGCAGCCAGACAGACAGACAAACGGTCGGACAGACAGACAGACAGACACAAAGATAGACAGACCGATAGACAGACATACATGCATGCAGCATACGTACGTACGTACATACATCACCATACAGTGATACATACACATGCGTGCATGCATGCTTGCATACATGCATACATGCATGCCTACATACATACGTACGCACGTACATACATACATAAATGCAAACGCATACACGCTCATGCGTGTATGATTATACGCATGAATGCACATATTACACATACTACGTACATATGCACGTACCTACCTACATACACGCATACACACATGCATGCATGCATACATACATACGTACGTACCTACATACATACATACATACATACATGCATGCATGCACATGCACATGCAAATTCACATGCTCATTCACTTACACATACACAGGGTCACATGCACATGCACGTGGACATGCATGTACATGCACGCACACACACATACAGATGCACACACACACATACACCGACACACAAACATACGCATAAGCATAAACATAAACATAACATGAACACATACATAAGCACACATACATAAGCACACGTACATAAGCACACATACACCCATATACATACATATACATATACATTTGCGTAGACGCATCGTTATGCATATGCACATGCCTTCTTTCCTTCTTTCCTGCCTTCCTTCCTTCCTTCCTTCCTTCCCTCCTTCCTTCCCTCCCTCCTTCCTTCCTTCCCTCCTTGCTTGCTTGCTTGCTTGCTTGCTTGCTTGCTTGCTTGCTTGCTTGCTTGCTTCGTTTCCAGCTGCCTACCTACCTACCTACCTGCATGGATGCATGGATATGCCGATGTTAATGGATGTGCTGGCTCAAGCGCTCGGCCCAACTTTAAAGCCTTCGTACCCGTCGCACAGCCACTGCCATGGCGCGGTTTGAGCAGGAGGCCCAGGTCATCCGCACTCAGCCGGCATTTGTCTTGGAGACTGAAGAGACCCCAGTGACGCACTGGAAGACCTATGACTTCTTCGAGGACACCCCCGTCGCCCGCGTGCCCAGTGCGGAGACGTGGGATGGCCTCGAGGAGCTCGACGAGCTTTGCATGGGTCCCGTTGAGAGCGAAGACTTTGAAGAGGCGACTATGACTCCAGTCCTGACATTCGACCCTTTCGAGCCGGCCTTGGAAGCAGCACCCCGCGCTTTGCGGATGGTGCCCTTTCCGGTGTCTGCCGAGAAGCCTCAGAGACCGGCCCAGCTGTGCTGGCGCCTGGACGGGCGCAAGCTGCAGAGCTCGGAGAAGCAGATGTTGTCCCCTGTCTTCCACCTGGAACTTCCATCCGACTCCAGTGCGCCTTTCCGTGTCATGGTTCTGGCCAAAGAGACCTGCGGCCGGAACCAGCAGGGCTTTGCGAAGGCCAAGGGTGTTGGACGCATCTTTCTGAAGTGCGAGTCCTCGCAGGCCGTCCGGGTGCAGGCGCGCATCACCGTGAGTGGGGCGAAGACGGAGACCCGCGGGCCTTTCCTCCACGACTTCAACGAGAGCTCCTGCTGCCCGCTGGGCGGGGAGTGGGGCCTGGCGGCGTTGCTGGACGCCACCAGGAGCCTGGAGGTCCAGGTGGAGCTCGTGGCCCCGAATTGAGTGAAAGACGCAGGGCATTTGTAAAGCCAGCCCTCGCGGTTGAAACATATGCACGCCTTGGTGCGCACTTTGGTGCGCAGGGCCCATAAGTGGCCTCAATCTTTAATCCTCCGCGTTTCGCAAGCCGCAGCTCTTGCAAGTGCCAACTTGCTGCAGCTTTCGCAGTGTACAGGGCTATCTCAGCTTCTGCCAGGTTGCTGTATAGTGCAACTCTGTGCAGCTGTCAGCTCCAGATGTCAAATCCGTGGAAAAGCCGTGGGCATCCACAACTTGTTTCGCTTCTGCTACGTGCCAGTTTGTTCTCATGACGGCCAGACTGTTTTTCTATTATTTTTTATTATAATAATAATAAAAAATAAAATAAAAAATACATTGGTTGACATTATTGAACACAACATGGAGTGATGTACGCCTGCATTGGCACAACCATGCAAGCACAAGGTATTACGGGCGTGCGGGGAGGCGAGCAATTGAGAAAGACCCTAGATGTGTTGATAGCAACTCTGCGAACATAAAGCAGCTAAGCATTGAAGAGGAGATGCTGAGCTGTTGGCCAGTTCCACCCAGTTTTTGCTAGTTCATGGATCCTCATTCGTTGATTGGATGCGTGTGCAGCAGAGAGAGTTTAGGCATCCGATGTCCCACAAGGCGTAGAGCTGACCTCCATGACATCCTCCGGGCATGAAGAGCAATGGGACGGCAACTGAAGCGTTTGCTTGCACTGCACATGTCATGCGCCCTGAGGCAGACAAGAACATGGCCGCGGCGTCCTTGATAGACGTTCTCTACGCGGGACGTTTGTACAAGGTGGGAGCTGCTGTGGTGCCCTCTCAATGATTGCCAATGATTCGGCTTGCTATTTGGGGTTGTCCAGGTGCTTGAGGAAGAGGGACGGGACAATGAAGGCAAGCTGGCCGAGATTGAGCTGCAGCATGGCCGCATTGAGTGGGGGCCGTGCTGAAAGTGCTGTCTGTGTCTGAGACCATTGCGTCTCTTGTTGAGTCATGAGCGCCGAGATCGGCCCAGGTGGCCGTGGGTCAAAAACAGGTACCCAAAATGGAACCTTGGTAAGTCGAAACAGGGACTAAAAACCATCGGTTCCCAGGTGGTTTAGTGTTGACCCATGCCCCTCCCCTCCCTGCCCCCCCAGCCCCCATGATTGTTGAGTCAGCGCCGAGATTGGCAGATCGGCCCAGGTACGCCGGCTTGCTCTCAGCTTTCCGGCCCTGCGTGGATCTGGTGCTCTCAGGCCTCACCGCCCGCGACGCCACCGACGCCACGCGCCGGCTCTTTCGGACGCTTCAGGCCGGCGCCTTCCTCACGGGGAGGGTAGAGAAGATGATCCCAGGAAATCGTGGGAAGAGGATGGGCAAAAGACATGTTGGCAATTGTTGGCAAACATTTGGCTACCTTTGGTAATGAGTAATAAGCGACCCTGTGTGCCCTCCGAAAGAGAAGAGTGACGAGAATGTGTCAGGATGCCGGTGAACCAAAGGACCCTTTAAACGCCAACCTCGTCTGCAGAAACCGGCAAGCAGAGTTGGACAAGTGACGAGTCTGACAACTAGATACTTGGGGTGGTTTTCCCCTTTATCTTCAGGGCCGTGCAGCACAGAAGCGTGGCTAGGAGAGTGCGCCGAATGAATCGATTCGCGTCCTACTGGGGCGAGTGGCAGCCGCTTGGCGTAAATCAGTTACTAAACGGTGGCGTGCTACGATTGGAACCACGTGGTGCATGGTGTTGAAAAGGCGGCCAATTCTTCTTTCAGGGTAGGAACACCAGGCTTAAACGGTTGCCCTCATTGCTTAGGACGCCGATGAGCCTTGGTCCTACCTTGCCGATCAAACCAGGGCAGGCTTCTCCATCGGAGGGCGGCTGGCTGCTCGGATGCTAATGACTTTTTGCGGCTCATGGCACGTGTGTCTGCCTGCCTCATGACAGTGGGGTGGTTCCTCAAGTGCTGCGTTGATTGGCAGATTGGCGTTGGATGCCTGAGGCGCTACAGCCTGCGCTGACGCAGAAGATCCTCCCGCCCCTGGGTGACATTCTGCTAATTGCCCTCGAAGCACTCACCTGACCTTGAGACCTGTGATGCATCCAAGGCACTCCCGGCCCATTGTGAATCACCTGCCCTCGATTTACACTCGCCTCTCCATCTTGGGTCCGCACGTGCCAAGTGCCGTGGCATGACACGGCAGAGCTTTGGTGCGCAGCGAGTGTAAGCACACGTTGAGCCGTGCAGAGCGCAGCTACCCAGGCAGCCACGTTCATCAGGCCCATCTGGCTGGTGCCCAGGGAATGAGGGAATGACCCCATGGTTTCCTTTAAGGGAATCCCAGGTTCATTCCTTGATTCCCTGAGCACCAGCAAGTCATTGCATTGAGTGGGATCTGTTTGAGGCATTGTGCGCATCCTGGACCAGTACCTGGATGTTGTGGAGCCGCACCTAGACAGGATCATGGAGCGGATGGACAGGATTGAGCCACACCTGCCGTACATCCTGCTTCACTTGGAGACTCGGTTTTTTGGGCGCGGACATCGAATGCCTTAAATGCCACTTGCTCAGGATGTGCTGGCCAAGCACTGTGGCCCCTTGCTTGACCACTTTGACCTGCTTCTGCCATATGCTGAGCTAGGCCCGGCATTTTACCACCAGAAACAGAGGGGGAATGTTCGCATGGATGTGTGCCAGGCCGCGCTCGTCCCACCCCTGACCTGGAGCGATGCTTTGATGAGCCGCAGATCGAGTCGGTGGAGGCGGGAATACGCCCCTGTAACCTGGGCAGCCATGTCAGCAGAGTTCCCTTTTTTGAGCATGCACACAAGCGGAGCAAATCCAGGCAACTCATCCATGATACCGCATGATACTGCATGTGGCCGTTAAACCCGCTGCTCATACTGCGTTTTTTTGGCCGCTCTTTTGCCCGTTTAGACAATAATTTTCAGAATTCAGAGGAAGCATGCAGTTGCGGTGAGGCGTGCGTCGTGGACAACCTGGTTGACGACTGGGAAGGCTGGCTGCGGCATTTGTCTCTGCGTTTTGCCGCGTTCCCGTTTCACCTGTTGCCTTTCGGTCGCAGGCGTCTTTCCTTATGTTTCACCTTGGGGCCCCGTTTGCTTTTCTGTTTGATCTGGGTGAGCCCGTAACAGTGTCAGCGGAGGTTGATTGTGCAGACCTTGTTTCAGTGCGCAAAGTCGTGAGCGCTGAGGTGCAGCAAAGGTGGAGGACGGCCCTGTGATCGGGCCTGGCCCACCCACCTCCCACGAACATGGCACCTGACTCGCTTGGGGCACCTTGGAGCCTTGGGGCTGGATCCAGAAATGGCCAACCCGGAATCAGAGCTTTTGAGATAGGTGACCTCAAGGTGCTTCGTGTCCAGGAGAATTCCTACCTTCCCAAGCTGCTGCCCTATGTCGACTTCCTGGTGCCGCACCTCGACGAGCTGGCGCCCCATCTTCCCCTGGCGCACCCGCCCTCCACTTAGGGATGCCCAGCCTGGGTCGAGCGTCACGCGTGGCACGGTGGGTTTTGGTCCTTGGTGCTGCCTGAGGCATTTGCCATATGTCCTGCCCTACATGGATGACTTGTTGCCCTACATCCAGTGCTTCACCCGTTTTCCGGAGGCTTCTTGACATGAAAGAGCCCACCGCTCTTGCGCCTTGCTGCCAGGGTGCAAGGCAGGCATTTGCGACTGGGCCTGGCTGAGGCATCAAAGAATGCCGATGTCCTCGTTGGATATCTTGGTTGGCTCTTGAGATTGCCTTTGATTCCAAGGCCGGAGAGGGACCGGGGCAGTCTTGGGGCAAGGCAAGGGGCAGGCCTAGTGTAAAGAATGGTGTATTTCTGTTCAGTATAGTGTCCCAATTGTGACCAGCAACCTGTATCTTTTCCATTTGTTGGCAATGTCAATATGCTGTTTCGAAGCTTTGAACATCCTGTATACATCCCAATGTGCCAGTTGCAAAGAGACAGGGCTGTGGGGGCAACCAACTTTAACCCCATGCTCATTCACGGAGCATGAATCAGACCCAAGCAGAATGCAGAGCTTATCTCACCGCCCTGTCTGCGCGGCCAGGATATTGTACGTCCCGGGGGTGCCTCGCCTCGTGTGCTGGATCAGCAAGCGGCTGCCGTAGGAGCCTCAGGAGCCACGGCCGGCCCTTCCCGTCGGCCGGCCATGACGCAGGCGGCGATTCGTCCGAGGCGCGGGGTCCCAGTCGACGCTGGGTGTTCAGAGCGAGGGCTCCGCTGCCCAGGCAGACTGGAGCGGGTCCGGAGGAGGCACGAGGCCGAGGAAGCGGCAGCTGGCGGCTGATTTCCAACGCCCCTTTTGGATGGACACGGCCAAAGCGGCGGAATCCGGCCTTCCGATTTCCGGCTGTGCGTTGCCGCGGTGTGCAAGGGCGCACCCCGGGCCAATTTTTTGAATGGTGGGCCTCTGCCCGCGGAATCTGCCGGTGCTGTCTCTAACCCTTTGCTTGCGTGTTGCAGGCGAGGGAAGCCAACAGGCCGCCCCTCAGGCGGAATTTTAGGATGCAGGCACAAGGTCTAGCACCAAGAAGCACCATGGCTGGCTACATCCTTTAGGCGCCTTCTGTGTTTGGCCCTGAATTTCTGCAGCGAGGCCTTGATGTCAAAGCAGCCAGCCGTAGCCCCAATTTGCCTAAGAACAAATGTTCACGACCGCCCCAGAAGGCGTCGTTTTCCCCCGCGCTCCGCGCACTTCCTGCGATGGTTTTGTATGCGAGGCAGTTGTAGAAGCGGTGAACCTCAAGGGTCGAAAAAGCCTGGCTTCGGCGTCAGTATTTCTTTGCCTTTTTGGGCATGGTGTGAGGAACGCCCTTTAGCTTTTGACGGCCTCGCATTCTTTCAGCGATCTTTCTTCGGCAGCGAGCCAGGCCTTTCCCAAGGCGTGTTTTGAAACCCCGATTTTGCGGGGGTTTCTTTCTTTCCTACCTGCGGGAGTTTGCTTTTTGTTTTTTTCCCTTCTCCAGTCGGGTAACCCTTAGTTGGATTGGCCTGGTAGCTTGGGGATCTGAATCTATGGCTTAGAGGGCAAATGGGTAACCGCCCACACACCAAATCACCGAGCTCCAAACCAAGCGGGTAAGCTGATCCAGGCACCAGGCCAACAAGCCGGGGGTCAGCGCCATGATGCCCGACCTGGATCGCGCCTGTGGGCGCGGGGCCCAACGTCCAGCCACACGGAAGGACGCTCGTGATGTGCGCACGCTTTTGGTTTCCTACGGCCTACGGGAGGTTTTTGCAAGGACTTCTTGCATATTCAAGTGGCAAACGGGGCCTGGCTTGATGTCCTGAACTGTGCCCATCAGGTTTCAGTCGGGTTTGGCTTATTGCACTTCTCCAATTTGCAGTTCTCGGCTTTGCGAGTGTGTCCGGTGTTGTCGTTAGATCTGGTCCGACGCGGCATGGCGGAGCCGATGGAAATCCAGGACTTCCACATGTTGAGGTGCAACTGGGTGTGCAAAGATGCCCAGTCAGGGTGCAAGAACGCGACCCATGCGGTCTGCTGGATCACCTCGTGCCAGCACGTTCTGTGTGACGAGCACGCCAGGAAGGCCTTCGGCCATGGGAATTCCTGCCCGGTGTGCGGCTTCAGAGACGCAAGGGTCATCAAAGCGAACCTGTCTAGCGAGGGCCGGGCACAAGCCAGAAAGGGCATCGTGCCAGGGCTGGCACCCTCTGAGATCATGGACTCTGCCGCGCTGAATGTGGAATTTTGGATTCGGCAGAAAGCCTTGACTTCTATTCAGTGCAAGCAGCGGTGCCTGCAGCTGGAGGAGCGCGCGGGTACCATGGCTCAAGCGGCGGAGGAGCAAATCCAGGCAGCGCATGTGAAGTCCAAGCGTCTGGAGGAGGAGCAGGTGGACCTGCAGAAGAGGCTAGACACTTTGGAGGCTGAGCGGGGGAAGGTCAACCATCGGATCTCAGGGCTGAGGAAGGAGATTTCTGATGCAGAGATGCGGTATGAGAGGGTGCGCAGCCAAGTGGGGGGTATGGAGGACGTGCTCTCCCGCCAGCATTCCCCAAGCCGCCTCCATTCGCAGCCCCTTTTCAACTTCCAGGGCGCCCGCCGGGGCGTCTCTGCCTCGCCCCGGCGGGAGGGCCGGGCCCACTGGTTTGCACCTGAGGCCTCCAGCCCCAGCCGGGATGTGCGCGACCTGGATCGCCTCGAGCGCCACCACATCGACCGCTTGGACCGGATCGGCCGGGATGGCGGGGATGGCCAGGATGGCCCTGGCAACCTCGGCATCGACCTCGGCTCCCGGAGCCCGGGCCCCCGGGCCGATCGTGCTCGCGGCCTTCGCTCGACAGCGCCCGCCTTTGCCGGGGGTTGGCTGGGTTCAGCTCGGATGACCAGGCGGCGCATCACCTGAGCAGATGCAGCACATGTGATTGCGATCTCGGGGATGCCATGGGTACTGAGCACCCAACGCGCAGCTCTGTGCTGTGGCGTCCGGATGTATCGAATTCAGATGCAGCGAAGGGGGCAAAATGCGGTGCGAAATGGAGCATGTCCGGGTTGTGCTTGTTCACCCACTGGCAGCCCACGTGACGTGGCATGCGTGTGCATGGGGGTCCATCAGGTTGGATCAACTTGCCTTGCATGCTGCAGACGACATGAGTCCAAATAGTTGGGAATGTGGAAGCTGATTGCAAACAAACAGCACGGCATGTTGGAGCAATCCCCAGTTGAAACAGTACACAGCAGAAGGCAGGGTGCAATCAGCGCTTTGCATAGCTTTGAGTGCGCTGCCGATTTCCGTCGGCATGGCCACCTGCGTGCGTGCCGCGCTTGTATGCTGGGGCCTTTGCCTCCTTATTCAGGCTGGGGAGGGGAATGTAGCAACGCTGTAGCCTGGGCCTTCTTGCAGACTGGGTCAGCATAAGACAACAGCAGCCAGTGGTAGGTGCCAGTGCATCTATTTTGTGGCGGGAATTCTAGCTTTCGCAGCCTCAGGACCGACTGTTTGATGAATGCTGCTTTGCCCATCAGCAAATTCAGGAGCTCGCGGGCTGCTGTAGTGACCTTCGACTTGGACGATACCTTGTGGCCTGTTGTCGAGGTGGTTGAAGAGGCGGGAGATGTTGGTCAAGCGCGCGCAAAGCACGGCTTTGGAACCCCCGAAACAGAAGCGCGATCCGCGCTCGAGGCGAATCAGCAGATCGCAAGGGCGTATGACCTGCCAGCGGACCAGGCTAGTGGGAGTGAAGCTTACCGGAATTTCCTGACCCATAGACTGAAGCAAATCACCTGTAGGTAATGGGCGCTATGCGGCGCCTGCGCCGTGAACCGGTTGGCGAGAGCGCAAGCTACACGAGCCTTCGCTGCATGGCCTACGCGGAGTTGCTGGGTGGCGACGAGGCCACCGCAGAAGCTCGGCGAAAATTGGATACTGCGACCGCGGGCTGGAAATGGCGCGAAGCATTCCAGCATCTCAGCGCAGTGGGGGTAGGCATTTGACTCACGTGGGTGCATGATTTCCAAAGCGCAAGCGAACGAACTCATGGGCATGTTTCCAGGCGCTTTGCTGCCTCTACGTTGGATTTCAACCATGGCCACAGGACATGACTTTGACACTGAGGGCCGCGTTGGGTTAGAACCACGTCTTTGGTGTTGTGGTTCTAGTGAGGCAGGAAATGTCGCTCAGGAGGTGGCTCAAAATTAAACAGGAGGGGTTACGCAGGTTTTGGTCCATGTTTCCACTTAGCAGGGTTCCATTTTGGTACTGGTTTTTTGAGCCACAGCCAACTGCTGGAATCGTTCTAGTCGGGCACCAGCTCAGGAAGAGATTGTCAAAGCGTGGGTGGCTGCTCGCAACCGGGCTGGAGCTCTGCACCTCTACCCCGACGTGGTGCCATGCTTGGAGAACGTGGCTGCAAGGGCTCTGCCAGAGGGAAAAGTAGGGGATGAGTAAACCAAAATGAGAGGGAATGGTGCCATATTATACCTTCCCCGGGGGCTTCCTGCGTAATTAAGACTTCAAAGTTGGGTGTTTTGCAGCGGTCCACAGCCGAAGTGGTCGCTAACCCCCTTGGTCTTTGACGCAATGAGGAGCTGGGGGAGTTGACATGCGGAAATTCGAGGCGAAGCCAGCACGCTAATCGACAAGTCATTGGCTGACAGCGGCACATTTGCAACATTTGCTTCCTCTGGTAAGGAGGGGCTGGCTTCATCTGGAGCCATGGTTGGAGCTATCACCAACGGTGCTGGCAATCCGAGCGATATCCCGCCTTTGGCCGACTTTTTTCATTTCTGTGTCTCTGCAGAGGAGGACCGGCCTCGCAAATTGGCTTGCAGCGAGGCAATACAGTGTCCGGTTTTCTGCACATGAGCCTGTTCGGGTAGCGCATTTGCTGGTTGATGGCTGCAGGATACAATTTTCCCACACCGCAAGCCTTCTCCGGTGATTTTCGAGGAGGCGCTTGCCCGTGCTCGCGCACTTGGCTGGAGTGGCAAGACAGAGCACCTCGTCTCCGACATGTCCACCAACGGTATGGGCTGGGGTTAGTTTCCTTGTGGTTGCGCTGCGACAAAGGTGGTGGCATGTGGGCGACGACCTTGCCACAGATGTGGCAGCTGCTTCCCGTGTGGGCATGAGGATGGGACTGGGCGTGCTCAAGTGACCCGAGTTGTTGACGTCCCATGTGCCCTCATTCAAACATGAACGGTTGTGTACAGGTGGTAGCCAAAGGCGGCAAAGGTTTGTCGCGCTCACTAGCAGCCCCCTGCAATAACTCGCCTTGCTGCAACCTTCAAACAGCAACCCTGCAGCTACAGTGCTCACATTCACTCGGCTTGCGAGCTTCGTGTTGGCCTTGAGGACGGTGCATGTGGACCGCCCCGGCCAGACGGAGAACCGCTTCAGCGTCAGCTCCAAAGAGGAGCTCGCAGCGCGACAGGCCGGGGCAGCGCCTTGGCTATGTCAGAGGCTCGAGGCCAGGTCTCAAATGGCTGTGGGTCAAACATAGGGCAACCCCAAGATGGCTTACCCTGCTAAATGGACTGAAGGACGAAACAAACCAGCGGTCGAATTCCTGGTGGTTGAATTTTGACCCATGCCCAGATTTGGGACAATGGAGTGGAGCGGCAGCCGAGGATTCAGAGCCCGACTTGCAGGTCTCCACCCTCAAAGGGCTTGCGGAGAGGATTGCGAGCTAAGCAAAAAGGCGCTCGATGGTTTTGGCGCCCTTCGAGCCTTTGTTGAAGTCACGGGCGTGAACTGGTCGCAAGGAATCGCCTTCTGAGGCCCACGAATGGAATGATTTCCAGGCAAGGGCCTCAGATCTCAGATGGTGTTCAGGTGGCGAGCATTTGGGTTGCAGTTGGCTTGCTGGAATTAGGTGGCTCCAGCGCAGATAGCTGCACCAGAGCTCAGATCTGTGGACTGAGGATAGTGGGATGCTACTGTGCAGGCAGGGACCGCCAAGCCGAGGACAGCTGGGAGGGCGGATTGGTGGAAAAGAGCTGGGCTGCTTACATGGCTTGCTTCAACGCTTTGCGCCCAAAAGTGATCAACTTGAATCATCATGTCGTGCCTGTAGAATCTAATGCTAATGAAGATGACCGTAGCACATGATGTTATGGCTTTGTATTTCTCATTCCTTGCTTTTCTTTGTTCCCAATTCGTAGACGTCCAAAAATACACACTGATCAAAGTAAACCGATAAGATGAATAAGACAATAACATAGAATCAACAAAAACGTATGATGTCAAATGAGTCCTAGATTTGTGCATAATCAAGATGAGCAATCTTCACTAGAACCTTCCCCAGAATTAGCTCCCCCTTTTCTTTTCTTTTTGCTTTTTGGGGTCTTTTTGTTTTCCACCAACCAGGCAAAAAAGATGATAGTAACAAGGCAAGCAATGAAAGCTCCCTTTCCAGGACTGGGGCTTGCTGAGCAATATGTCCTGGAAGCGCGGGCGCCCAACTGGAGGGGAGAGTAGGCTTTGGGATCCGCCCTGAACCCCCTACATCACCCGTCTCTGGCTTTGGTTTTGGGGATGGCCCGGGTGAAGCTCCCGTTTGGCCCACACAGGCGCTTGGCGAAATGGGACATTGCCGCCCGTGACAGCTTCCGGAAGTCAACCCTTGCCCTTGTCTTTTGTGTTGCTGTTTCTCCAGGCCTCTTGAGCTGGTGACGTCCCATGCGTTTCTCCTTCGATATGGGCCGCTGGGTCTCTGTGTCGTTTGGGCACCGCCCGTCGGGACTTCGGAAGTCGGACGTCGAAAGCTGCGGCCTCGGCGCGCCAGCTCGAGTTCGGACACCGCCAGCCCGCCGCGAAGCCGGCCGCTGCAGGACCGGTTGTTTGGTTCGGTTCGCAGGGCGCGAGCGCGGACCTGTAGCAGCAACAGGTCATGCAATGAGAAGGGGGCCCTGACAGCATGCTCAAGTTTCGGGGGCGGCTTTTGAGAAGCACTTGGCAGTTTGCGAAAGACTGAGGGGTTGTGCTTGCATGGCTTCGGGTATCAGGAGGCACAACGCTTCCCAGCAGCAGGAGGGGAGCAAACTTGTGGGCAGGGTATTGGATGACCCGTGGCATGCTGTTGCATTGAGGCAGCGACACCGGGCGACTAGCTGACCACAGAGCTGGGGCTGGTCTATTCGCTTATGAATGGGATTGGCCCAGTAGTTCTTCGTAGGCATGAAACACGATATCATCAATCATTTCTTGCTGTATCGCTGGAGAACCCTGAAGAAACCTGCTCCAAGTATGAAACATGAAACTTGTATGGCGGTTCGTTGCAAAACACAGCATGACTTATCCTGCATCCTTACATCCTTTTTTTCAAATCAGCAGGCACTTCCCCGACGGCTGAGGGACAATTCAAATTCGAGTTGGCATTTGACTCGCTCTCTTTCGCGTTGAATTTCTCTGGAGGACATTGCGCGGTGAAACCTTGGCCTCACCGTCTAAAACAAGTGAAAGGTACTCCAGCTCTTTGAAGCCATCCTTGGGCATACATGCCGCATGTGCGATGTGCGCTGCGTAGGAGCTCGCCAAGTGACGCCCCTGGTGGCAACTGTCCCCAGCAGGGCGCCCAAGTGGAGCATGGGGACATTCCAGGAACCCTTCCCCCATCTACCTTCTCTCTATGGACAAGAATAGCTCGGGTGGGAATGAGCAGCCGGTCGCCTGGCACCAAGTCCATTATTTGTACAGGAATTCCACCCTTTGTGGCAGCTTAGCAAAAAAGAGTTTCTACCATGGCAGCGAGCCACAAAAAGCGCGGTTCACCGCGGTTTGTCGTGGTTGCCAGGCATCCAGACCGTCATGCGGCAGCCGCGGCAAGCTTGCTGCAGAAATGCGTGGGTGGGTGGGTGAGTGGGTGATTGGGTGGATGATACATGGTGGGGTTTGCATGAAGTAATGGGCTGAGAAAGCTTATTAATGGTTTTTGGTTTGTCTTGTTTTGCCTTGTCTTTTCTTGTATGTATGTGTTGTTTGCTTGTTTGTTGGTTTGCTTGCCTGCCTGCTTGCTTGCTTGCTTGCTCTCGCTCCCTCGCTCGTTCTTTTCTTCGTTTTGGTTGGTTGGGTTGGTCGGGCCGGGCCGGGTCGTTGGTTGGTTCATTGGTTGGTTGGTTCGTTAGTGCGTGCGTTCGCGCATGCGTGAATGCTGCTAGCGCATCAGCCAAGGTAGCAAGCCAAGAGTGAGGCCACGCACGTAGGTTTCAAGAAGGAACCGGGAGCCATTGGCACGCCCATGGCTCGCTGCATTGCGCTATCTCTGGTTCTGGCATCGTTTTTCGGCACCCGAGCTGCCGACGCCTCTAGGGCGTACGCCTTTGCGCCATGCGCAGGGCATAGCTTGAGAGTTCGGGGCTTGCAGCCTGTTGCCGTCTGCCTTGCGCCGAGAAGAATGTGGAAGACAGGCTTTTTCTCCTAACTAGACTTGGTGGGGCGTGCAGCAAGCCCGCAAGCCCTGCTCAATGAGTTTAGCTGGTTGTGACCTTTCAGATGGCCATTGGCCGCAAGGGCAGCGCAGCTATTGGAAAGGTACTTGCGCATTGCAAGAAGGCCTGGCCGGAAGGCTCGGGTTGGATATGTGAACTTCCGCCTGAGGACCATGTGAGGTTGGACAATTGGTTTTAGCACAAATGAAGGAAGTGTGAGATACGCCGTTTGTATGGTTCAAATGGAGCAGCAGCCATCAGATCAAGACAACTTGCATTGAACTCAGCACATCACGGCTAGTTTGAGCCACGCGCGAGACCCAACGAACATTCCATTTGTCAACGCAGAGCTCATCTTGCTGACACCAGCTGATGGAAGACACTGGCCTGACAATTTGCCGTATTTAGCCGTAGCATAGCCCTTGCCATGCTGCTGAATGGCCCATGGCAACATCCCAGCTGGCAAACAGCACCTCAGCAAAGGCGTGGAATGACCAAACTGATGCGGATCCAATGTTCATCTATGTTCATCTACTCTATGGAAATCTTTCAGGGTTTTCACGTCCCTCACTTGCGGTCTGTGTGCCAGGGGAAGGCTGCAGCAAGATTCGAGCGTGCTGGTGCGACGAGGACGTTGCGTTTTGCCATCAGCAGTGGGGTATGAAGTACTTTTTTGGCCTCAGCTCAAGGGGGCCATGGCGCAATGGTAGCGCGCTCATGTTTCTCGAAACCATGGGAGATTGCAGCTTCAAATCCTGTTGGTCCTATTTGTGCTTGTCGTTTCTGGAGCTAGGGTTCTTGTCTTTGACGTGTCGAGGTCTTGAAGTGCCGGGTTGCTTTCGCCTAGTTAGCAAACCAAGCTGCGCGTGGGCCATTGACACACTTTATCCGAACACGTCTACGGTGGCTTTCGCAGTTGCGCGGAATCAGAGCAAAACCAACTTGCACAGTTTGCCGTTGTGGCAGGCGTGCCGGTTCTGGCTGTACTTGCCCAATGACAGGCAGTTCTTTGTTCAGTCGTCCGACCCCATTGGTGTACAGATGTCGCTCTCGTTAAAAGATGCTCAGGGAGATTAGTCTCCAACCGTGTTTGGCACAGATTTCGGCAAGTTTTTTTGTAATCTGGGGGCATGGCTGCGTAAGGGGAAAGAACCTCGCTAGAATCTTGGCCATACAGCTACAACATGTTAATGTGGGCTGGGCCTGGGGTTGGCGCTTTCACGTGCCAGGCGTCCCGACTGCGCAGAGCCGCCGCCAACCCATGGCAGCTCAATAGGCGGGCAGCTGAAATGCGCTGTGCAGGGAAGGAGTACTTTTTAGGAGCCCCTACCACGGCGAAACATCAGAGAAGCCCTCGCCCCCCGCATGTGAGCTGTCTCGCTGATCTAGCCAGGGAACTGGCTGCTGCGCAGTCTGCGGGTGAAGTCCTGCAGATTTGTGACAGGCCCGCACCGCATGTAGAGTCGCTGCAGGGACCCGTTCGGCTCGGAACTAGGAATAGCCCCACATGCCCGGCGTTTTGCAAAGTGAATGTAAATTGAGTGAGTGAGAGTAAGTAGCATGTTGAAAGTGGAGTGAGAATGGTTGAACATCAGTAAGTGTGCATAAGTTAGCGAGGATAAGTCGAGTGAGCGCGACTAAATATGTTTTATGCTGTCGTGCCACGCAAAACAACATCAACATGCGCAACGTCCTGCGCCTGCCACGGCCACAGCCGCATCCCGCCATCCCGCGCCGCCCTGTCCGCGCAAACCTTTCCGAAGTACTGCGCCTTGAGCAGCATCGCCTGCGCAAAGCCCTGCGAAAAGTGTGTAAGTTGAGTGAGTGAGAGTGAGAGTGGTCGAAAGCTAGTGAGCGTGAGTGAGAGTACGTATGTGTTTTTGAAGTGAGCGAGAGTAAGTGTGTGTGTAAGTTGGGCGGGTGAGATTGAGGTTGTAAGTCAGTGAGTGTAAGTTAAGCAAGAAAGAAAAGAAAGACAAGAAAGAAGAAAGAAGACCAGAGAAGAGAAGGAAAGAACAGAAGGGACATCACGTGCCAAAAGAGAAACAGAAAAGAGAAGAACAGGAAATAACAG